CGACACACCTTCATCCGCAAAGTGAGTCCTGGGGGGCCAGGGGCACCTGTCAGGGTGGGGGGCTACCTGTTCAGGTGGGGGGCCGGGTGCTGAACCCCCCCGTCTCTCGCAGGTCTATGCCATCATCTCCCTGCAGCTGTTGGTGACGGTGGGGATCATTGCCATGTTCACCTTTGTGTGAGTGGAGGGTCCCTCCTTAGCCTTGCCCCAAAAAAGGGGGGATCCTGGCCCCTTGTCCCCTGGGGGGTCCCCAGGGGACAGTAGTTGCTGTCCCCCCTCCCTCACACTCATCCCTTCTGTCCCGCAGCTCCCCTGTCCGCTCCTTTGTCCAGAGGAATGTCGCCATCTACTACGCTTCATAGTGAGTAGGGGGTCCTTCAGCTCACGCCCCCCTGAGGTGCCCTCCGGCAGCTGGTACCCCACAATTGCAGCTGCCCAGCTAGGGGTGTGTGTGGGGGGGGTATCCGGGTGTGGGGGTTGCAGGGCTGACACCTGCTGTCTGTCTCTGCAGCGCCGTGTTTCTGGTGACCTACCTGGTGCTGGCCTGCTGCCAGGGTCCCCGGTGAGTCTGCTGGTGGCTGGGACTGCCAGGGTGGGGGGGTGTGGATTTGGGGGGTTTGTCTACAAACAAACCCCTGGGAGTTTGTTTGTCCCTGCCTGGGGCTGCCCCTGGGGGGTGGGGACCAGGAGGACACGACATGGCCGCTGTCACCAGCTCACCTCTCTCCCCCGGTTTCGTCCCCAGGAGACGCTTCCCTTGGAACATCATCCTGCTGAGCATCTTGGGGCCAGTGGGGGGGGGCTGGTGGTGCCCCCACAGCACCCCAGCTCCCCAGGCGGGCTGGGAGGGATAGGGAGGATGCGTGGGCAGGTGGGGGGCAGCCAGGAACTGCTGCACCCCAAGCTGCCACTTGCCCCAGTGAGCCCACCCTTTTCCTCTCCCACAGACGCTGGCCATGGGGCTGATGACAGGGACAATTGCCAGGTAATGCCCTGGGGGCCCTGCAGTGACAGGGCTGGGGTCCCTCCTGTCCCCCACTGTGCGGCCAGCTCAAATGAGAGGCTGCTGGGCACCGAGGGACAGCCCCATCCCCTGGGCTCGGGGACAGTGGGGTCCCTGCCCAGGATTGGGGCTGTGGGGGGGTCACCAACAGCCCCCTGGCAGGGGGATGCCGAAGCGTGGGGTGACTCTGGTGTCCCCTCCATCCACAGCATGTACCAGACCAAAGCTGTCCTGATCGCCATGCTCATCACCGCCATCGTGGCCATCATTGTCACCATCTTCTGCTTCCAGACCAAGGTGAGGAGGGGGACGTGTCCTGCCCTGGGTGAGGGGGGTCAGGAGTGGGGAGCTGGGTGGTGGGGACACCCTGGGCTCTCCCATGATGCATGTGTGTTTTCCTGGCAGGTTGATTTTACATCGTGTCCAGGGCTTTTCTGCGTGCTGGGCATTGTGGTCATGGTGACCGGGATCGTCACCGCCATTGTCCTCTCCTTCAAATATGTGAGTGGGGGGCACAGAGGGACTGTGGGGTGCCACTGGTATCCCCAGTTGGGTGTCCCCAGGGCTGGTACAGGCAGGGAGGGTTAGGTGGTCCCCCTTTTGCCAGGAAGCAGGGTGTGGTGCCGTCGCGGCAGAGGCAGCTTGCCCGCAGGGAGAGGGTGTGTCGGCGGCAGCATCAGCGGCATCTCA